TTTGATGTTAAATAGTTACCAAGAGAACAAGTTGGAATGCTGGATAATGAAAATACCTAAAATGGAATTAAAGGGAGGGAGGGACAGATAGACAGAAGAAGGAAGGGCTGTGAGCTGCATAAAGCTCGTGAATTGCCTTCCAGGTGATGCTCACATGGAGCAAGAAACCTGATTCATTAAATCCAAATACTCTAATTTCTGTCCACCCTGTCCAAAGCATTTGTCTGTTCCACCAGATGCAGATTTAAGTCTTGAGTTAAAATGTCCTGCAACAGGGAATTGTTTTGCTGGTTCGTTTCATTTGTTTGCTTTGTTTTTGTAAGAATGACAGGTTCTTACCCTTTTCCATTATAGTGAGAGATACATTTTCTAAGCACATGGACTCCAAATTCTATTCCTATGAGCAGTATCCATTTGATAAATGTACCCTTCTTGTATATAATATCTTTCCAACGAAAAAATCTTAGTATCATTTTTAGGAACCTTGACCTGGGGGTAGAATTCCCAATTTTCCTGCAATAACGCATGGAAGAAAAGCAGTGTGCTGTCAAAAAAATAGGCTATGCTCATGACAGTCATCTGCAAACAGACAATGATGTTCTCATCTTCTATTTAGAAATGCCTCATTCATATTTCTGGCACCTCATCATAAGTTCCAATTAACATTAAGGTCACTGTGGTTAAGAGAAAGGGGTTGGAACTCAGGACTTTAGTCCCCACACAGCCATGAAGTTTACCCTGGGTGAGTTTTGGCCAGTCACAGACTCTTAGCCCCACCTACCTCACAAGGTTGTTGTTATAAGCACAAAATTGAGAGGAGGAGAATTATATAAACCACCTTTGGAAGGAAAAAAGTTAGGATATAAAAATAATACATAAGTTAAGAAATGATCAATTTTTTAACTCATTGTTAAGATATGATGTATTTCCACTCTGTATCATTAAAACAAAAGGTCAAAAAATTTTACACTCCTCAATACTTCTTTTCTTTTCATTGGCACTTCTGCAAGTTATGTGCAAAATTTTATTTATTTATTTATTTATTTATTTATTTAACAGCTTATATGCCGCCCCATTGCATGAGCCTCGGGGCGGCTTACAATCATAAAATCCTGCATAAAATACAAAATACAAAAAAAAATCATCAAATAATTAAAATACATAAAATACAATAAAATAGTGAACACAGCCTGGTCAATTTAAAATCAGCAAATAAACCATTAACAGTTAAAATAGCATTTAAATAAAATGGTCTTGACCTGGCACCGAAAAACAAATTTATACATATTTTATGCAGCAGAGCAATTGTGATAGAGTCTTGGGTCCTAAACTAGTCATTTCTCCACCTATTCTTACACCTGGAACTAACATAAAGAATTCTATCTGCCTTTACAAAAATAAAAACTTCTACTTCATCTAGAATTCATACCTCATCAGTGAGTGGGTGAAATTTTGCCAAATAAGCTCCTGTTTTTAGGAATAGATTTTAATCCCTGTCAGTACAATGATCCTATAACACTTTCACTTAAACTGTAATTTAATATATGATCACTGACAGACAAAATAGTGACATCTTCTCATTAAACTTGAATATAAATACACTAACTTGAGAACCATTCTGTTTCAGATGGGATAAAGTAATCTTACGTTATCAAATTTTTCCATCCTGTCATCATACCTAGATTGTATGTTTAAAACTATCAAAATCATATCAATAGTACTAATACTAATGTCAGTAGTAATGCTATAAAGAGTGCAGGGGGGAGAAGTGTATGTTTAATGCACTGTAAATAGAAATCCCTTTACATCCAAACTACATCTTGATAAATTACATACTGGTATTTTTCCAATTCTAGTTGGTTTGGTGTGTTTAATACAGTGTTGGACTGGGGATCTGAGAGATCCAAGTTTTAGTCTCTGCAGGGCTGTGAAGCTCACTGGGTGGCTTTGGATCTCTCACAGACCCTCAGCGCAACCTACCTCACAGGGTTGTTGCTCTGAGGATAAAATGAGGCTATGTAAACCACCTTGGCTTTTTCACGGGAGGAAATAAAGTGGAATATAAATGCAATGGAGCAAAATCAATTCTGCCCCCCCCTACAGGGTTAATTGTAAATTTCAGAAAAACTGCTCAAAGCAGTTCAGTCCCATGATGCTTCGGATGATGCCCCCATCACCTTCTTATGTGGCTTAAATGCAAGTTTTGCTGCTCACCTTAAGTACTGATGCTGGAATCAGAGCAACTATAATCTAACAATTGAGCCTTACTTCCTTCACTGGAAATGAGAGTCAGAAGAAAATCTCCTTCTTGTGCCAGTGGACCATGTTCAGCCCCATTCCACAATCCACAGCAAACTCTCCTAATTTCTTTCTTCTTCTCAGCCACTGATCATGAAAGATGAGTGGTAGGTTTTTCTACCTCTAAACCTTCTAGGTCAGCTGGGATGGGGGGTGCAAAGAAAGAGAAAGAGTCCCTGGACATGGCCATGTTTCTCATTGGTCTCATAGACTCTTTTAACATGGTAAAGAAAACCCCACATTTTAAGGACTACGTGACATTGGACCGCCAAATCATCTCCGGAATACTCCAAGATATGCAAGGAATCTAAATACTTCATTGCTTTTGCTAAAAATGTTCTCACCTCTTCACAGAGTGTAACTGCACAGGAGTTACAAGACTTTTTTTTTTTTTTTTTTTTTGCTAATTTTTTGCTGGTTGGATTGCTTGCTTTTATTTATTCTTGGTTCCTTAAACTTTCACTGATCATTCTGACATGTACAGGATAGATACACATCTTTCTGGCATTTTAAATTGTCAGAAAAATTGGTCACATGGTTTCAGTTCTAGGAAGGTCAGACTGCCCAGCCTGCCGGGCAGAATTTATAGGGGCTGAAAACTCAATTTGCTGATGAACCTTGAAGGTCCTGCATGAACAGTAAAAATGCAGGGGCAGGAGGAATGCATGTGCATGAGTAAGCATATACACATAGACACGGTGTGTGCTTTATTTATTTATTCATTTTAAGCTCACATATGGCTCCTTTGCCACAGAAGGGCTGGAGACAACACAGGCATCTTCGTTTTATCACAAAACCCCAAATGAAGCTCATCAGTATGTGGGAATCATTTGGTTACTTCAGCAATTCAGCTGGACGTGGGTTGGACTCCTTGTTGCAGATGATGACAACGGAGAACACTTCTTGAAGATTCTGGAGCCTCTGCTTTCCTGGAATGGCATCTGCCCTGCCTTCATAACAAGAATCACACAGCAATCCCATATGAATAAGCTGGATGGAGCATTTGATGTATTAGCAAGAATACATGAAGTTTTCACATATCGTGAAGCCAGTATATTTATCCTCTATGGAGACACTCTGACTGTTGCCTGGCTTAGGACCACGATATTTCTAGGAGACATCAAGAGCAGAGAAAATCCTTCCTTTGGAAAGGTGTGGATTCTGACAACCCAGATTGATCTCCTCTCAACAGGTCTCCACAGAAACTGGGATTTTCAGCTATTCCAAGGTGCCATTTCCTTAGCAATTCACTCAAAAGAACTACCAGGGTTCAAGGAATTTGTTCAGAAGGTTAAACCTTCCTGGAACCACAAGGAAAATTCTCTGAAAGACTTCTGGGAACAAGCATTTGACTGTTTCTTTCCAGATCCCACAGTGATAGTGGATGATCTATGCACTGGAGAAGAAAACCTGGAAAGTCTTCCCACAGGTGTTTTTGAAATGCATGTGTCCGGCCACAGTTACAGCATCTATAATGCAGTTTATGCTTTAGCACATGCCTTGCATGCCTCGTTCTTATCTAAAGCCAGACATCATGCAATGGTTAGGGGAGGAAATGTTGATCTACAATTTCTACAGCCTTGGCAGGTAATGCCTTCATCCTTAAAAGTTATATCAGCAAATAGGCAAATAAAAAAGGAGAAGAAGAAGTGATCCTACTTTTTCCTGTAGGGACACTCAAAATGTGTTGAACCTATTTATCACAGACAAAAGCTTGCAAATATATATTCTTTTCTGAGATAATGAGCATCTTAAAAGAATTTCAAACTGCTCTCTCTGACCTCTTGTTCAACATTCTTGCAATATTTTCTGTTTCCAAAGCTCCATAGATCCCTTCAAGGTTTGTCTTTTAACAACTCAGTTCATGAAATGGTGTCCTTCAATGATAAGGTGATAACAGGAGGTGGATTTGATATCATGAACATAATCACTTTTCCCAATAAGTCTTTCCAAAGAGTGAAAATTGGGAAGTTGGATCCCAGTGACCATGAAGGCAAGGAATTCATCCTTCATCAGGCTATAATTGTATGGCATGATACCTTTAACCAGGTATGGCTTAGTGGAATGCTTAGGGGCATCTCCAATTGTTCTGTAACATCTATTAGATCTAACTGTAAAGTCACCTGCAGCTTTGAAATCTGCAGATGAGACATCCTCAAATCAGATATTTCCTGCTCATAAATGAGGGTTGGGGGAGGGAAGGAGAAAAAGTGCACTGTATGAAAACAGAAATTAAGCAAAAAGGAATAGGAGATTTAAGGACTTGCCTATACATCCTTTTCTTCTGATTGGCCTTTTCCTTTGCTTGCTGGGAAACAGGACATATCTATATGGCATATATACCCTGTCCTTTACTATATTGATTTATTTGGGGAAGGGGACACCAGAGCAAAACTAAACTGATAATGTCGACCACATTTGAGATACACGGAAGTGAAAAGGGAATAAGAAGCAGATACACCTAAAAAAAGATATCTATGCATATTTCTCAAAAGCATTGATGAACTCAGGTATCCCAGTGTCCTTTTCTGTCCTTTGCTTCTCAACACTTGCTTATTGAGAGCCAGTGTGGTGTAGTGGTTAAGAGCATGGGACTGGGACTCAGACGATCTGGGTTCTAGTCCCCGCTCAGTCATGGAGCCAACTGGGTGACTTTGGGCCAGTCACAGACTCTCAGCCCAACCTACCTCACAGGGTTGTTGTGGGGATAAGATGGAGGAGGAGATGTAAGCTGCCTTAAGCCCTTTGTAGGAAAAAGGGAGGATATAACTCGAAAAATAAAATAAAAATAAATAAAAATAAATATTAAACATGTGAATGGATATTTCTTGCAATAGATATCCCTGGAAAACCAACCAGCCATTTTTTTTCTGATAGCAGTCATTCTGTTTCTCCCTCAACACTGAAAAACATTACACGTGAAGGAAAACAGTATTGTCACTATGTAGACAAGACCAAGAGTGTTGCAACACGCAATAGGCACTGCAAGTTTGCTCAGGCTTATGATTGAATTTAGATAACAAAAATTTGGTTTACAATCTGTTTTTGAAATTTTGCTGCTTACAAAGAATATTTTATTTATTTATTTACTTTTACTTTACATTTCTATTTCTATTTCTATTTATTTATATTTCTTGCAATTTGATGTGCATTGGCCCATTACCCTAAAGGGTTGCTGCCGGCATTTTTATATATTTGACAATGTGAACAACCCCATCCAATTAACATTTTGCAGGGCAGAAAATGTTCTTTCTTCATAGATCTGAACAAAGACCATAGTACTGAGTATCTTCCATCTTAACCTTCTCTTCTGCATATGGATAGGTGACCCCAGTGTCTGTGTGCAATGGATGCTGTCCCCTCGGCACTCAGAAGAAAAGGAAAGAAGAGTACCAGTTTTGCTGCTACGCATGCGACCCATGCCCAGAAGGGAAGATTTCAAACCAGAGTGGTAGGCAAATGAATACTCCAAATCTGTCTTCATATCATTTATGTTGTATCTGTTGAATAAGCACTGAAAGGACACATGCTTCTCTTTTTTCCAGATATGAAAGAGTGTTTCCCATGTCCAGAAGATCAGTACCCAAATGAAGAAAAAAATGGTTGTGAAAACAAAATTATACATTTTCTGTCCTATGATGACCATTTAGGGACAGGTTTAGCCTCAATTGCCTTTACATTCTCCTTGACTACAGCATTAGTGCTTGGAACATTTATTAAGCACAACAATACCCCCATAGTGAGAGCCAACAACCAGGAGCTCACATTCATCCTCCTTATCTCCCTCTTGCTCTGCTTTCTTTCTTCTTTGCTGTTTCTTGGCCAGCCTGGCACAGTGACCTGCCTGCTCCGTCAACCAACCTTCGGCATCATCTTCTCAGTGGCTGTTTCATGTGTCTTGGCGAAAACAACTATAGTTTCCCTTGCCTTCAGAGCCACAAAGCCTGGGTCCAGGATGAAGACATGGGTGGGGAAAGGGCTGGCATATTGCATTGTGCTCCCCTGCTCTCTCATTCAAGCCAGCATTTGCATTGTATGGCTGGCAACCTCCCCACCATTCCCTGATCTAGATAAGCACTCTGTTACTGAAGAAATCATTGTGCAATGTGATGAGGGCTCGGCCATCATGTTCTACTGTGTTTTAAGCTACATGGCCCTCCTGGCCATTTCCAGCTTTGTGGTGGCTTTCCAAGCCCGCAAATTACCAGACACTTTCAATGAAGCCAAGTGTATCACCTTCAGCATGCTGGTGTTTTGCGCTGTATGGATTTCCTTTGTTCCTGCCTATTTTAGCACCAAAGGGAAAAACATGGTGGCTGTGGAGATCTTCTCCATCTTGTTCTCCAGTGCTGGTGTGCTGTGTTGCATCTTCTTCCCCAAATGCTACATCATTTTATTGAAGCCTGAACTGAACACCAGGGAACAATTAAGCATCAGAAAGCATTAGGTGCACTATCTTCCACCATCCATCTCTCAGGTTTTGAGGAGCATAGCCTAATAGTTTTAGGTTTAAATCCAATAGTATCACCTTAACTTCTGTGCATTCACTTATAGTTTTTTCTGTGTGCATATTCAAATCAAGGCTTGCTAATTCCTCCAAGTATTATTTATTTATTTATTTATTTGAAGTTTTTCTACGTTGTCCCATTACTACAAAAAGTCTCTGGACGGCTTACAAAGAAAGTTTCTTGGTGGCTTCCAGCATTAGCATTATCCAGTTTGCATGAGCAGAGCCATAGTTCTCAATGCCATGTGGTTCAGACTTGCTGTAAAACTGCATATGGTAGGATAGGAAAGAATTTCAGAGGAAAAAGAATGCTAGTATGAAATGGTCCCTTAGTATGTGGACTGGTAGGCTCCCAACAGGATATAGAAGAAGAGGATAAGTGAAATTGGAATGACATCCATGGAAGGACCATAAAGTTTTTACTGGGTGTCTGAATAAAAACATTGCAGGCACTAAATGAATCACCCTTGGGGTTGGTATGCCACAGACAGGGCACCAACACACAAATGACTATGTCTGTGCAGTCGCTCCAGCTTAACTTCAAATGATCATTTAAGAGAATGGCTAAAAACTGATGAGAGAATATTTTGTTTCCTTTTCTATTTTCTGGGTATCCAGAAGCCCAAGATGCTGCTTGAACTAATTAAAACATTTTTGTACCCATATCTTCAAAGCACCTTCTTCTCTGTTCCTGATTTGAGTGGCATTGTATGGGATCCTTGTAATTCACCTACAGTCAGACAGACAGATGGCAGAAAGACATGGCAAATAAGTGACATTTTATTTTTCTGGGAGAGGGATGCCATCAAGATAGAGAGGACCCATGTTATTTCTTTAGCACTCCACCTCCAAATGCATATGCATTTATTTAAACTGTATTTTAATTGTTAATTGGTTTTCATATTATCACCGAGAAAATTCGAATTTTTAATATCATTCTATGCCTGATTATAAGTTTTCTTTGTGAGCCGCCCCGAGGCTTCGGCGATGGGAGCGGCATAGAAATGTTATAAATAAATAAATAAATAAATAAATATGCATTCAGGTAAAGGATTGAAACACCCAAAAAGCATTGAAAATACTTTAAAAAAGGATCCAAGTGGCCCGTTTCAAAGGATTGATTCAGCCTGTAAAAATAAATACATAAAGCAAACAAGCAAGCAAAAAAGAAAGAAAGAAGGGGGATTGGAGTTTTGAGAGCTAGCTGTTTGTCTGTCTTTAATGTGTCACTGAATTCCATTTCATTTTTCTTTTCAGTGCTTCAGAAGCTCCTTACCAGAATATGGGTCGGGAGGTGGTAGATATATCATCTAAATAAAAGAAAAAAATGAGTGCCTTTTACTTCTCGGGGAGTCTATGGAAGTCATAGGGGTCAGGACCCCAAAACTGAAAGAAAGGAAGATGGAATCTTGAGGATGGCACTGTGCATTGCCCAGGGGCATTATGCCATGTGCACTCTTTTGCTCTTGCCTGAGTCCAAATGTAAAAATGGTGGTGAGGGTATAACAGTGATTGTCCCTCAGAAAATTAAATATTCCCTAATACTATGTTCAGATGAAATATACAGAGAATGGAATACTTCGATTCCTTCTCACCAGCAAGGATGATTTTTTTTCCTGTAGTGCTTTTTGATATTTGGTAAATAAAAATTACTTTCTGCCAGTCACAACAACAGCAACAGCAACTTCGGTTACTCTGATTCTCTTTGGTGTCAAAAATCCAGTTTTAGGCAACCTGAGAAAATGGGTCAGCCTGAGAAGAAACTCCTCTTCACCACTAGCAGCTCCATAATTCCAGAAAGTTGGAATCTCTGAAAAACTCTGGAGCTACAAGAATTCATAAAACAATGGAAAACTTCAGGTTCCTGGCTCCCTATCATGCTATTCACTGGTTCAGAACTGATTTTCCAGGAGGAGGAGGGAAAGGGAAGGGGAAGGGGAAGGTCTGCCTGATGCAGAACCAGCTGAATATGTTAAGGCCTGCTGTTGTGGAAACTGTTTGACTATTCTGTTTTTCCCC